GTGATAAAGGATAATAACGGAAAAGGAGGCTTTCCATTTTAATTAAATAGGCTCCAATCGTCGTTCAGATAATTATTATTGCACGACCACAGCCATTTCACCGCGATTCTGACGTTGGTTAATTAACTTTTCAAAGATCTTTGCGATCTTAATTGCAAATCAAAATAGATTTAGATCCAAATTCTAAAAGCCTCCGTGCCTCTACAATATCGACGAAATTAAAGTTCAAAGTTGATAGTTTTACTTCCAAAGCAAAGAAAATGTGTACTTGTAAAATGTATTTGCAGCTACTAAAAATTGTATTAGGCAATCCATCAGAGACAACATCAAATCCAAAAATTGTAGATTGCAGACAATTTGAAAATGTGAATGACAAAAACCCTAATTTGATGATAATATATATTAAGTATAAACAACTGCTAAAGACAGACAAACAAACTTCGATAACATCGTAGTATACTTCGTTTACTTTCTGTAGCGATGTGACCTTCAGTTTGACCGGCGCAAAGTAGAAAAGAACAGCACTAGGCCAGAAAAGGAAGGAGACAACTCTCGGCCAAACTCTTAACCGGTGAGGAGCGTATAATCCGTAGAGTACTGCACGGAAAATTTGACCATTTTATCCACTACAATTGCATTGCTCAAATGTGCTGTTATTGGTACCATTTACTACTGAAAATATCAACGAGACGTTTATTTATATTTGAAGACATATTAAAGACTTTAACGCTTGTTTTCAACTAGCACTACTATTCATGATTGAACAAAACTTTTGGCAGGTACTGTATAAAAAACTATGTTTAATGAACAAGAGTCGAGAGTATAATGAGCTTTTTTCTCCATACCTACGATTTTGCAAGCGCGCATCCAAGACATTGAAAGGGGCACATAGCTAGGTAAGTAAATGAAGTATAGTTTCGTTTCGCTGATTTTGGGTACGAAGTAATAAAACTAGAGCAGCAATAAAGTACATTGCCTTTATTATCTTCCACAAAGCTTCAATTTTTGATGATGCTTTTAGAAAAAACCGATAAAAATTCGTCACGGAAAGTGCGATTCTCTTGACAGTGATCTACTGTTTTATTCATGTACACATAAACCTGTAAATACTTCTACCGAAGATAATGCTGTAGTTCGCCGCCATCATCAGAAATTTATGTATTCGCTTAAGAAAATTAGTAGCAGAAATAGTTACAATTCAAAATAATTGAAACAAATAGAGCAATACAAAAAAAGATTAGTAATTTCTCAAACAACAATATTACATTTTTACAAGGTTTCTCACAAATAGCTGATCACCTTTCAATCGCAGACAATCGATTTTTACGTTTATTAAATGTTAGTCTCTTGAATGTCACCTCAACATGCTAATAATGGAAAGTTCTAAATTGCTTTTTTGCATATTATAAAATGATTGTGCTATCAGGGTGCTTTAGAATTTAGGAGTCGATGCTGTGGCTGTTTCTACGAAAATCTTAAATAAAATAATTACAAAATTCTTTCATTTGTGGTTCTCACGCCCAAGAAGCTATGATCTTCAGGTTCCCCATAAGCAGCTGAAGTGTTATCTCGAATTTATGTGCCATCAGTGACATGCAAAATTAGTCTTTCTCTCGGTTTTGAGAAAAGACTGAACGAACAAGTTTAAAACAAAAACCAGGACCAAATATGCCGGATCAAGAATTATACGCATGACCAAACAAAAATTATTATTTTCGGTGGACTTATGAGTTAAACTATTTGAAGCAACTTTAAAATATTCTTTTTTTGGAACAAAACATTTTTTGTACATGAAATTTTCAGTTACGTTACTAGACTTTAATGCTAAAAAATAAACTTTACTACTGTTTGAAAAAAGGGATCTAGAAAAATATTCTCGGAGTATGTGTTCTTTGTTCCTATGGCTGGATAACACATATGGCTGAAATATAGAGACAAACTAATTTTGTTTTTTGAAATTTTTACTTCTTTCAAGTACCTTGTGCTATTTTATTTGCTAAAAGTTCAATTTATGAGTTGGAGAAAGGGTACATTGTCGAGTTTTCACCTCTCACAACTATCGACACGATTTTCTTTAAAAGTTATGGCAAGCTCGCATGTATTTAAGACAATTATTTGTGCTTAAAATTATTTAAAAAAGACGTAATTATCAGATTAAATGAATAAGATCAAGACTTAACACGTAAGACTATGACTAAAGTCGAAAACCAAGACTATAAGTATTTGAGAAAGACCAAGTTCAAGATCAAATAAGCAAGACCAAGATCAATATCAACACTGGGACGGTCTTGTTCTTGCTTTGCTCATCACCGTGGACCACCCAATTTGTGTATAATTTCGATTATAATGCAACGACTACAAAAAAAAATTTAATGTCGGAAAAATTAGAAGGTTTACTTCATTACATTTAGGTCATACTTTTGATACAAATTCTTTGTATCACGTACGCCCCTTCAGCATTACACCTGTTTACACAAAGATTACTATCAACTAGGTCCATTGTATCAAAGCATTTTATCATAAAACGCGACTGTCACTTCTGATGAATAAAAAGTTGAAAGGGCATCGGGTACTAGATACACAATTTATATGTTAAATAAAAGATAATAAAGACGTTACTGTGTAGTGCAAAATGAAGTGACTGTTTAATAAATCAGCACGCAATAAAGCAACACAAAAGAAAACGTCAAGAAATTTGCATATTTATTACAATCCGGGGGAGAAAATGTGCGTGTCGTACCTGCCGCCTTTGATTACATTTCTAAATTGTCCACTTCGCCTTTTAGTTGACAAATAATAAAACATAAATTGCGACAACAGGGGCATTTTCGAATTAGGGTTGCAAAATGACCTACTTAAGTTACTATACCTACCTACTTTTCTTTATTATAAACGAATATAATTAAAAATTTATACTTTAAGTTTTAAATAAATGCAGCGTTACCTACTATGAATATTTGCTCTGAAATATATACAACATCCCTTCTTATAGGCAACTAATAATTTAAGGAAGTTGGGGAGTACACTGTTAAAGAAATTACTCATCATAAGGTCGTCAGTCCTAAGACTGGTTAGACACGCACCTCCACTCTTTCCTATCCTGAGCTAATCTTCGCATTTCCCCAAAACTAGAATAACTCACATACTTAACTATTTGCGAAGAGTAATCTAATCTAGGTCTACCTCTACCCCTCCTAACTCCTGTTTCTGCCTCTAATATGTCTCTGACTACTCCTTCATGCCTGAGGTGTCCCACTAACCTATCTCGTCTATTTCTTATTGACTTCCACAGAGTCCTCTGTTCTCCTATTCCTTCTGATACCTCCTCATTTCTAACCTTCTCTAATCACGGTATCCTCAGCATTCGCTTATAAAAACACATTTCGTACACTTCTTACCTTTTCTTTTCCGAAGAAATTACTGATGCATAAAAAATGGTAAATAATTAGTTATACGAGTCATATCTGCTAATTGATTTGAAGAATTAAAAATTGGATAAACATTAAAAAAGTTTCACCATTTCAATGCGTTCATAAAATGGTGAAAGATTTTCATTTTTAAACTGATTTATTTATATCTAACGTTTATTTTGTTTCACTGCTAATTTCACTAAATAAAATTTGCAAAGTATATCGTTATTTATTATTTTTATGCAAAACTAATTTTTTTGACACTCTAACTACCAAAATAGCTAATTATATACAAGAAACTGAAACTCAAATTTTGTGGATGTGGATTCTACAATTACAATTCTACGTGTTTTAGTAGGTACCGATTCGCCAACATTAATAATAATCCATGGACGAGATGCTTGCTGAATTTTCATACGACAGACACAATTCTCATTTAATCAGTGGAGAACGACGTAAACTAATAAATACATACAAGATAATGACGTATTTTTTACAACGTTTCGTTGGAGTGGTTTGCCGACGTCTTCAGCACAATTTTATTATCTGAGAATTCAACAAATTTTCACTGATGCATTACACAATTTTTAATTTTGTGCTTGATTATTATTAATTGTCTAAAATTGTGAAACATTTGAAAAACCAAGAAAATGGGTAATTATTTAAATGCACACAATTATTGTGCAAACAATGTTAAATGTTTGTTGGTTGTTGTGAAACATCAATGTCGCTCACGTAATATATTATACGTGGTGTCGTAAATAGCGGCGCTGAATTGCAACCTACCCTTTCTACAAACGTTTCTCTGGTACAAACTCATTAGCAATTCATTGTGGATCAAAGAGATCCTGATTAGTAGATGAATTACGGCAATGACGAACAATTTAACTCAAGCGCAAATATCGGATAGAAAATTGATTGTATGCAAAATATTTGATAATCAATTAGTCTACCTGTGTGTATACAGAATATCTACCTAAATACGTTTCTTTATCAATGCTACCAAAATACACCAGTTTGTTCGCAATTAATAAACACGATCTGGTAAAACGAACAAATAAATATATTATAACTTATAAGTAAGTTAAATTTTTAAAAAATTTAATGTAAAGGTTATTACAATTTCTGATTTCGGACTTGCCAATTTAAATTTTAAAATATTAATTAAATGGTAAAAAATACAATCACTATTTCCACTGAAAACTTTTTTTTTAATTTTAAACTGATTTTTGAAAAATAATAAAGGCTCTTTTGGCTTTCAAAGAATAGTGTAAACATCAATTTACAGGTGTGTAATAACACCTTTCCCATACGATTTACAATTTACAGGTGAGGTTTTTTAAAATCTTTTTCAAACGAGAGCTTCCTTTTTATCCGCATATATACGAAGTTATAAAAACGCACCACCAAAACTGACATCCTCGAACAAATAAGCCGTTTATAGGTCATGTATTTTTATGTCAGTGAGTCCGGTTGGTCAAGAAATCAAATGGTTAAAACTAAATGGAAATGTTATGAGAATTTAAGAAAAACTTTTGAAAATCTACCAATATAAAAATTAAGTAAATTCTATTAGAATACTCAACTCACCAAAAGCTTGACACTGGATGATTTTTGTAGTTCCTAATCTAACAATACTACTGGTTGACGATGAAGTTGTGAATCTCGGCGCTTGAAGATTTTCTGAAAAAAGAAAGAGAAATGAAATTAATACAAGATATATATGTCTAATTGTATTTTAGACAACGATATCTAAAATTGTAGAGATATTACATACTCGATTCAAAGAAAAGAACAATTGATCGGGCACATGCAGGTGAAATAGATTCAAAACTTTTACGAACGATAATCACAAATATTATAGAGAATCCTCGGTCGGAAGTCGAACTTCTATGTAGAAAGTTAGGGGCAACTTTTCAATAGAAAAGTTACTTAATTCAGTCTATTGTAACGAATACGCTTAAAATTAATAAAGTTGACTTCAACTGTTAGATAGCGTGAAATTTTAATAGGGCATTAACTTTGGAATACTTAAAAAGAAAATATATTATTCGTTCGCTGATCTTTCAATATATATATTACTTACCTACTTATACAAATATGTATGTACTATAGGTGGTGTATGTATATACACATATACCTAACACATGTATATTTACCATGGCGTTACTCCATATGTAGTTAAAAGAAATTTCATTAAGATGTTGTCGTAACCCTATGTTGATTATCTTATAATTTGGAAGAGATAGATACGTAAATAATATTGAAGTTAATTTGAATAATAGTCTTGATGTCTTAAAGGATTGGATGAAACCAAACTCTTTAATAATAATTCATCATCATAAGGTCGTCAGTCCTAAGACTGGTTAGACACGTATCTCCACTCTTTCCTATCCTGAGCTAAACTTCGCATTTCACTAAAACTAGAACAGCCCACATCCTTAACTATTTGCGAACAGTAATCTAATCTAGGTCTACCTCTACCCCTCCTAACTCCTGTATCTGCCTCTAATATGTCTCTGACTACACCTTCATGCCTGAGAAGGTGTCCAACCAACCTATCTCGCCTATTTTTTATTGACTTCCATAGAGTCCTTTGTTCTTCTACTCTTTCGAATACCTCTTCATTTCTAACTTTTTCTACCCACGATATCCTCATCATCTGCCTATATAACCACATTTCGAACGTTTCTAACCATTTCTATTCCGCTGCGCCCACTGTCCATGTTTCGCACCCGTACAATGCCGTGCTCCAAACATACACCTTTAACAACCTTTTACGAATTTCTAAATTAACCGTTCGCGAGCATAGAAATGACTTCTTTTTATTAAAGGCGACACGACCCTGTGCTATCTTCTTCTAATTTTTCGTCTCCTATCTTTATATTCGCTCTTTCCCTACCTGTTCTTCTCTTGCATACCAGTATTTTAGTTTAACTTTTATTCATTTTCATACAGTACTGATCTGTCAGTACCGCTTCCATTTTATTTAAAGCTATCTCTAGGTCCTCCTTGCTAGATGCTAATACTGCTTTATCATCTACAAATGTAAGCATACTAATCTTTTGCCCTTGCACATCTATCCCTACAGTTGTACTGTCTTTAATGATGTTGATGGCGTCTTCGATGTATAGATTAAAAAGTAGCCAGTGTGCATCCCTGTCTGACTCCCTTTCTAATATTTACTTCTCTACGTTGCATCGCCAGCTCTATAACTGCCTGTTGCTCTTTATACAAACTAAGTATCACTCTTCTATCTTTGTAATTCATCCCTACATACATAATAAAAAAAAACAGTTTTTATGTTAATCTGCGATAGTAGGAAAGCAAGTTCTGACAATAAATGTAAAATAATGTTTAATAAAGTTACATTGTACAAAAGTATTATATCTCCTCATTTAGAGTATTGTACTACTATTTTCTTAATCTTCGATAAGATGTGTCTAAATAAACTAGAAATATTGAAAAATAGACCGATACGAGTGATATTAAATGTGAATAAATATACTAGAATAAGAGACATGCTTGATTAACTTGGATTGAACAGAGAATAAAACTGTTGTAAATATTCATTAGCACCTGTAATATTGATGGAAATAAAAATCATCTTAATTTTGTCTTTTGACTTTGCATTCCACTCAACTTCGTAACGAAAAACTTCAGATTTACTGATTAAAAATTTATTTTTTAATTTGAGAACAGTGAGCGTCTTCCCTAAAAAACTGAACCCACTTTAATTTTGTTCGGTTACATCAAAGGATTAGGTGGATAAAAGACGTTCACCTTTTCTAATTTCTCTTAATGCGACCCACTTAAATTTTTAATGAACAACGTTATAATTACTTACAAAGTCGGCTTTAATTATTATTATTAGTGAACGAACAAAGTCAAAAATGAAATGTTTATTACCACGTAATATACCGCAGCGAAACTCTAATTCAATTCTATTTTTAACCAGACGAAATCCCACGACTTCTCCACTGTGACTCACTAATAATTCGATACAGAACTGTACACCATCAGGTCGCTCGCGCAAATCATGCGCAGTTGTCGCTTAGTTTACGGTGAGGCAGAAGTAGAAGATTCTTCTTGCTTCATGTCGCTTGCCCCTCTATTAAGTAACATGATAACACGCACGATTTATTACGGTAAATCGTGTGGAAACCTTTTTGTATTTGTTACTTTATTTCAATCATTATTAAATTCAAATACTTTAAACACTTCAAATGTATCACGTGTATTTCAACATCAATAAATATGAAAAAAAGAACCAGGTGTGATGAGAAACTGTTTCAATTCTTTATATTTTATTGTCAACCATTAAACCGATGATCGGAAAAGAATAAAAGAACAGCCATAAAAATTTGATATTCTATATTATTATACGCCAAAATACTTGAAAGTATTGCGGATAAGGTCGCTTTTTATGAAGCGTTTTTCGAATTCATATGTTAACAAAAGAAAAAGATTATGTTATACAAAATATGGAGAATGAACGATAATGGCGTATGCACGCTTAATACTGACACGTGATCTCGTTTAATGTTATTGTCGTAGTAAAATTCGTATTATATTTTAGCTCCCTTCTTTTATTGTCGTCGTTACCTCTCTTTTCTGGGCAACATCTGGGATCACGTGGAATGGGCATATGCTACATGAATAATGAAAAGGGCTAACATTTTCAACATTCGTTGCCTCGTTTACCTTTATTTGAATTTATACGAAAATCTTCCTATTTTCAATTAGTTACCGTTTAGAGCATACAATGAAAACATTAGCAGTTGTAATTTGTTTCTGAGATTTCTAAGGGTGCGTTTACACTCAGCGCTTCGTCCACATATTGTCTCACTGTTGCTCTTTAACGTTTGAGGAGCGTTCAACGTTGCTCGCCTTAATTGTTCACTCAGACTACGCTAACTCTTTAATTGTCGTTAATGTGAACTTTCTGTTATACGGTAATTGGTGAATTTTTATTGTTTTTTCTTTATTAGTTCCGCTGAAATTCCTACCTGACATCTCTTTTCTTAATTTACGATATTCCCTACAGTACGTTAAAAGTAAATGCGATAGTTTTATTGCGGACTATGTCAATTTTGAACGTCTCAACTATAGCCGCATTTTAGGTTTACCGTTACTCCTCTTAACTTCTGTTTATGCTTCTATTGGATCTCTAATTAGCCTCCTCATGGCTGTCCTACCAACACACTTCTAATGGACATGAAACATTTTTAAAAATTTCTACAGATTTCACTACTGCCTGTCTATTTCACTTTAAACTGACTAATAACCGTACCGTACAATGCGACCGTGATCAAACCGCAATTCAATCTGTAGTATGAATCGCCTTTTGTGTCCCGAGATAAAAATGCTCAGTCTCTCAGAGTCTCTGAAAGCGAGACTCGAGTCTCTCTGGTGTCGCAAAAAAACTGTTTAGCGTCACTAAACGAGAGACTCGAGTTGCTCATAGAAAGATCCTCATTTCGTATCTGGTCTCTGAGCGAGAGACTCGAATCTCTCAATAAGTGGTGTCTCGATAAGCATGATCCCATTCTTTCTACGAGAGACTCGAGTCTTTCAGTTTTTCAGTTTTATTCATTCAGTCTCTCTGTGAGAGACTCGAATCTCTGAATTAACAATTTTATCGTTCGAGTCTCTCATACAGAGACTGTGAGAGTTTCATAAAAACACCTAGACGCTGAAAGACTCTGAGAGACTGAAAATTTTTGTCTAGGGGTAAACGAAACTTTATTTCAATGAAACGAATTGATACAGTCTAACATCTAATCATAAGTGATATAGAATCCATGTTAATTCTATTTTTAAGTGATATTCCTATCAATAGATCTGATTTGCAGTTGTTAACTAAATAAACTTGAAAAATAAAAGGTAAAACTAATTTTCACATCTGGTTTCGTGCACTGTATTATTTATTTTAAAAATAAAAACCAATGGGTTAAGGGCCCACATATATTTTATCTATTCTAAACGCGAAGGGGTGTTCATAAGATACATGAGTACCATGCACGGTGTGTTGACATTACGAGTGGGGATTTTTTGAACCGTAACAAGCGCAACTGTTACCCTTAATAAACTATTGTACCCGCCAACTGTTAGAAGTCCATAGAATATCTGGATATTACAACTACAAAAGGTAAAATTGTAATTTTATCGTAAAAGATCAGTAAGTTGAGAAAAATAATATCGGTTTAAGATTTTCAAGAAATTTCTTAATAAGTGTAAAGTATATCTACGTATTAGGTTTTTAACAAATGAATTATAATTTCATTGAGTTTACTTTCATCGTCACTTAGCACGTTGACCTATTTTTTCAACTCTAATGCGCTAGGTACTAGAGCGATTTAAAATGTAGCTTTCACTGTCATATTATAAAAAAGGAAAAGTGCAATAAACGTCGCATAGACTGTCTGTGTGGAGCAGTTGCAATTAGCTGTATTTTACTTTTCTTTTAATGCGAATAATATCTATGGATGTGATAAATTTATAATAAAAATTATAACTTTAGAATAATCTCTTTTCGTATAATGAACTATCCTATGCATACAGCAAGTATATGACTTTATCCAGTGACTCTGATATCCAGTTGGCTCCATAAAATTATTTATTAATAGAAATATGAAAACCAGGAGCTGTGAATCATTACTTAAATGAAAAACTTAATATTT